TGAATGACAGAGTGAGAGGGAGTGGGTAAATGTGAGTGAGTGTGAGTGAGAGTGAGTGAGAGTTAGTGATGGGAGTCTGAGTGCGTATGATGTAGGCCAGGCCTGCACCTCAGAAAGCCTGTGATTTGGGTAAGTCCTGCACCCAGAGGGGCTGTGCTGAAGACCTGGGGCAGCTGAGAGCAGGCACTGTAGGGCATACCTGTCTCTGGGTGCAGTCAGAGAGAGATGGAGGGTGAAGGGAATTATCCCACCATGCCGGTGGGGTTGGGATACTTCCTACCAAGTATCCCAGTGCTGCTATTCCCAAATTCCAAGAATCTCGTACATGGTGAAGCCAGAGTTGCTCAGGGGCTGCCCGCCCAGCCTGGCAGCAGCAGCCAGAGGCCTCACCCGTCTGGTGTCAGGAAGCCCCTGTAACCTGGACACACAGGGCTGCTCTTAGAGCCAGGCAGCCCAGACCACTGGGTCCTGACTTCTGACCTGGAAAGTCCCTTGGACCCTGTGGAACAGGGATGGACCAGAAGGTCACCCACAGCTGAGTGTGGGGTGGGGGTTGGGGGGGCCTGAACAGGAAAGGGGCTGCCCCAGGCTGCCGATCTTCCTGGGGCCCACCCTCACCCCTGCTTGAGGAGGGAACTTGCTGTCTGGAACAGGAAACTGCCCAGTCCAGGGCACACCCCCACCCAGTGAAACCTGATTCTCTGTGATTGGTCTCCATGGACACAGTTAATTTTCAGCCTTAAATTCCAGGAAAAGCCATTTGGAGAAATCGAAACTAAGAGGAAAGAAAAGGGGGCGGAGAGGAGGGTTTCCCAAAACCTCAGGAGCAGCACTTGGCCATGCAAAGCACAGCTGCTGCTTCCAGTGGAACCATGAGCCACACTTCTCGGCCCTTCCTCACAGGAACCCCTATCGTCGCCCCCCCAAGCTATACCATGAATAAGGAGGAGTATGAGATAGGAGAAGTCGGAGCACCCCAGCCTTCAGTGCCTGTGACCTCCACCGTGGTCAGCATCCAGCCTGAGATCTCGGAGCCGGACCACATCGTCTGGTCCCTGTTCAATACCCTCTACTTCAATGTCTGCTGTCTGGGCTTCGTGGCTTTCGCATATGCTGTGAAGGTGTGTGGTGGGTGGGTGGGCACCAGAAAAGCATGTAGAGCCTATATTCTGCACTTGGTGGGGAACCCCAACATAAGAGAGTGAGTGTGAGCGTGAGAAAAAGGGTGAGCAAGAAAGGAAGTGTGTGAGAGTAAGAGAATGCGAGTGAGAGTGCCTGTGTGTGTGAATGAGTGAGCAGATGGATGCATGAGTGAGGAGTGCCCTTATGAGAGAGAGAGTAAGAGGGAGTAACTGAGTGGGTGAGTGGGAGAGCAAGAGAACGAGTGACTGAGAGTGTGAGTGTCCAGAGAGAATGTGCGTATGTGTGTGTCAGTGTGCCAGGGGTGGAGTATATACATCTCCGTGTATGTGCGTGCACGTACATGTGTGTGTATGCACGTATGTACATGTGCATGTGTGTGTGCAGGCGTGCGCACGTGTGTGTACATTTGTGTGCACATCAGTGTGCGTAGATATGTGAGTGCTGTGGCAGGGATCTGTCCTGTGAGAGCATGGGTGAGGCTACCTGGACCAGAGCAGAGGGAGGAGAGCCTGGTGCCTCCCAGAATGCCTGAGTGTCTGTGGAGAGGAGGCTGACCAGAGGAGGGCAGCAAGCCCTGTCCTGCTCAGGCTGCAGGGCGTGGGGTGGGGGAGGGGCGCCCTGATGTGCTCAAGCAGCTGGAAGTGCAGGGGGACTGAGGCAGAGCCCCTGGGTCAGCAGGAGCTGCTACAGCCCCCTCACCCCCTTCTCCCCAGTCTAGGGACAGGAAGATGGTGGGCGACATGATTGGGGCCCGGAGCTATGCGTCCACCGCCAAGTGCCTGAACATCAGCGCCCTGATCCTGGGCATCCTCCTCAACATTGGAATCATCGTCGCTGTGGTGTTTGCTGCCATAATATTTTCCGAAATGTACTATCGAAGTGTGCAGAGAGGTGGAGGCTTCTAGAATCTGCCCACCATCTGATGTGCCCCACCTCCCGCTCTGTGGGCTGGGCCTGCCTGTGGCCCGCCCCCTCATCAGCAGTTTCTGCAGACAGGCCCTCAGCATTGATGTCAATAAAGATTCTCATATGTGACGCTGTGTGGTGGTCCTTGGGGTGCGGGTTCTCTGTATCCCACCTCCCTGACACTGACCCTCCTCCCGGGGCCCTGTGCCACTGCCCTGGGGAGAGGGGGTGAGGCCTGGCTCTGTTGCTGATGGGAGACAGACCCCCACTAGTGAAGGAGAAGAGTTCCCAGGTGGCTGAGAGTCTGTGGTGAGCACCTGCATGGTACAGACCTCAAGTTTCCACCAGCCCACAAGGCAACCCTAAACCTTGCTCTGCATAGCATGGGAAAGGGTCGCTGACTCCCGATTTCTCCGGGATGCCATGGACTCAGGTTGGAGCAAACACTTGCTCTTTGCAGGAAAGGAAAGTCGGTCTTAACTCTGAACCAGGCTTTTGGGGTCCAAAAGATGTTTCCTCACAGAAAATATCTGTGATACAGCTGGTTGGGCTCTTGCCTTGTATGCAGTTGCCTCTGCTTCAATTCCTGGCACCCCATATTGTCTACCAGGAGTGATACCTGAGAACAGAGCCATAAGTCAACTGTAAGCATACCTGGTGTGGCTCTCCCCCCAAAAATATGCAAAAATAATTTTAGTAGGAAACAATAGTGGAGTAATTTTATTCAGGAAAGAGAGGGAAGGAGATAGGTAGACAAAGATACATGCTTAATCATGAATCCTGGTTTTTCCAAATTGGAAAAAAGCCAGTACACATTGTAAGCTTGATGTGCAGCTTAGAAGAAACCCTGTGAAAGTCAACTTGAGAGAAGAAAGTGTGGTTATGTGCTCCCCCAGCCCACGTGCTGCCTGTGCCCATGTACTGCTGCCAAGCTCACGTGGTGCCCAAGCACGTGTGTCAATCTCATTTCTCTTCTTGAGATGTATACTTTCATACCTTGACACTTAATGTTGGGATGTTTACTGGGGCTCTCTATTCTGGAGAAGCCCATATTCTCTCTCTCTCGCTCTTCTTCTCTCTTCAATTATTTTGGTCACTTCCCACAGTGCTCAGGGGTAACTCCTGATTCTGCACTCAGGAATTATGCCTGGTGGGCTTAGTGGACCATAGGGGTGCTGGGAATTGAATCTAGGTCAGCTGTGTGCAAGGCAAACTCTACCTGCTGTACTATCTCTGCCCCTCTTTCCCCCTTTTTTTTTTTTTTTTTGCTTTTTGGGTCACACCCGGCGATGCATAGGGATTACTCCTGGTTCTGCACTCAGGAGTTACTCCTAGTGGTGCTCAGGGGACCATATGAGATACTGGGGATTGAACCCGGGTCAAGGCAAGGTGTGCAAGGCAAACACCCTACCCGCTGTGCTATCGCTTCAGCCCCCCCTCTTTCCCACTTGAGTACATTTTCTCTCTCTCTCTCTCTCTCTCTGTCCCCTTCCCCTCCCCCCCCCCCCCTTTTTTGAGCTTCCAAATATAACCTGTTTTTACTTCACTACTCTTGTCCTAAAATTCTTTTCTGAGATGCAAAGATGAAGGACCTAAAAGGTCTGGATAAAGTCTAGGACAGTTTTCTTTCTTGCAAGCAGCGAGGCTCACAGCACATTCTTATCAGTCAGAGATCTCTTCAACCTTTCCCTGGATAGAGAGAAAGCAGCAGATTCCCTTCTCGAGGCTGCCACCTCTTTCCTCCCCCACTTCACACAAGTCACCCAGGGACCCCATCAGATTGAGAAAGAAAGAAAATAAAAAGTTTAGGGGGCTGGGTAGGGTGCTTGCCTTACACAAGACCGAACCCACTTTGACCCTGAGCACCCCCCTGTTGGAGTTTCCGATGCTTCAGTCCCCTAGTCATCTGGATAGGTGACCCATGAATGTGCCAGGATGCGGGAGGCAATGGCCCCTGGTGTACTAATCCAGATGGTGGCAGTGGGCTGGGCAGGGGACCTGATGTCTTGTGAAGATTAATGCAAATTGATTATTTACTGATGGCCAGGCTTGAAACAGGGTACCATCGCCATATGGGATTGATTAGACAGCCTGTTGACATAGTTCTGGTAACCTTCTCTGCATCCCCTTCATCACTTGCCCTCATCTCCTTTTCCATGTACCACATTCATCTGTCCCTGTGTAGTGCTGTTTGCCCTGAATAAAATTGCCTGACTACCTAAAGAATCCATTTCATTCCTTAGGAGTGTTGGTCATCTGTCAGTAGGCCATCCCATCCCTGAGGCCAGGCAGATTAAGCCAGGCGTAAACTCTGAGTATCCAGAGTGCAGCCCCAAAACAAAAACAAAAAGATAAAAACTACTGGAAAGTAAGCAGAAAAGAAGGAAACTGTCCGGTAGTTGAGGATCTTAGCATAGGTCTAAGATAAAGATAGATCATTTTGTGGATTTCTTAAAGGAAAACTGGATCTTTGAGTTACTTATCAAGTGACAGGAACATTACAGAGAATGCAGGGATGGTACAGAGTGTCTTGGTTGTTTAGATCGTTTGGGTCACTAATTTGACCATTTGCCTTTGGTATTGCCCAGAATTAGGCAATAATTCCAAGGCAGAATTTACGATTTTGGGAAATTACTAACTTCCCTCTCTTAGGAATAGTCCAGGATCTTGCAGAAATGTACAAAGTGTGGAATAAAGACACTAAATTGGGACTGCTCACAGCAGCTGGCAAGAGGAAATCAAAGCTTCCTCTTTCATGGCTGCCTGGGGATATTAGACATCTTTTTCCCCGCCCAGCTCACGGTAAAATCTAAGTGAGCTAAATCTGAAGTGCCCAGGGTGACAGAGGCCTCCTGGGAGATGAAAGGCCTGTCTCCACCCTCATCCTGCACAGAGCAGTTCAGGTCTGTGTCACTCACTTCCTCATCATCAAAGATCTCTTCTCTGTGAAATCTCTTGCTTCCCCCACAAAGAAAGATGATCAAAGAGGAGCACGAGGTGGCCATGCTGGGGGCGCCCCAGCATAGGGGAGCCCCTGTGACCTCCACCGTGATCAACATCCAGCCTGAGGTCCCCCCGGTGGTCGACCACGTCGTCTGGTCTCTGTTCAACACCCTCTTCTTGAATGTCTGCTGCCTGGGCTTCATGGCTTTCACCTACTCCGTGAAGGTGTGTGGTGGGTGCAGCATATCCCTGAAAGTAGATGGAGACTGTAGATGGTTGAGTCAGAGCCTGAGATGTGTGTGTGTGTGTGTGTGTGTGTGTGTGTGTGAGAGAGAGAGAGAGAGAGAGAGAGAGAGAGAGAGAGAGAGATTGCATGAGGGAGTAAATGGATGAGTGTCTGTGTGTTTGAGTGACTGAGTGGATAAGAAAGTAGATAAGTGAGTGGGTAAGGGAGTGGATAAGGGAGTAGATAAATGAGTGAATAAGGGAGTAGATACATGAGTGGATAAGTGAGTGGGTAAGGGAGTAGATACATGAGTGGATAAGTGAGTGCATAAGGGAGTGGATAGGTGAGTGGATAAGGAAGTAGATAAGGGAGTGGATAAGGGCGTGTGAGTAGAGGACTGTGTTTGAGTGAGTGTAAGTGCATGAGTGGATTTGTCAGTGAGCGTGTGTATGAGTGAATGAGCGAGTAAGTATAAGTGACTTTATTAATGTCTGTGTTGGAGTAGTGTGTGAATGAGGGAGTGAATGCTCATGGGCTTGAAACTCTTCATATGTGTGCATGTGTATTTGTGTGTACATGTAAAGTGAATGAACAAGAACGTGATTGTGAATGTGTGTGTCAGGAAGTCTGTAAGTGTACATGGGTTGGTTCTCTTTGTAGTTGTGTGTTCATGTATGCATGCTTTGTGTGTGTGTGTGCATGTGTTTTTGGTTTGTGTGTGTGTATGTATGTGTGTATGTCTCTATGTCTGTATGTGTGTGAGTGAGTGAGTGAGTGCTGTGGCAGGGATCTGTCCTGTGAGAGCACGGGTGAGGCTACCTGGACCAGAGCAGAGGGAGGAGAGCCTGGTGCCTCCCAGAGGCCCTGAGTGTCTGTGGGGAGGAAGCTGACCAGAGGAGGGCAGCAAGCCCTGTCCTGCTCAGGCTGCAGGGAGTGGGGTGAGGGAGGGGCGCCCTGATGTTCTCAGCTGGAAGTGCTGTGGCAGGACTGCAGGGGGACTGAGGCAGAGCCCCTGGGTCAGCAGGAGCTGCTACAGCCCCCTCACCCTCTTCTCCCCAGTCTAGGGACAGGAAGATGGTGGGCGACATGATTGGGGCCCGGAGCTATGCATCCACTGCCAAATGCCTGAACATCTGCAGCCTGATCGTGGGCCTCTTCTTCATTGGAATCATCATCATTGCTTTGATAGCCACCCGCAGGGAATTTGTAGTATGAAAGAATGCGGAGGGATGGAGGATGCTAGAATCTCGTCGCCTCGTGATGGCCCCTCATAACCACCTCCCGCTATGTGGGCTGGACCTGCCTGTGGCCCACCCCCTCATCAGCAGTTTCTGCATTGATGTTAATAAAGATTTTCATATGTGACACTTTGTGGTGGTCCTTGGGGTGCGGGTTCCCTGTATCCCACCTCCCTGACACTGACCCACCTGCCGGGGCTATGTGCCACTGCCCTGGGGTGGGGGTGGGGTCGGGCCTGGTTGGCTTCTGGGCCCTGCTGGGAGCAGCATCTGGATCATTCACTTTCCCATAGATTCTTCCTGTGATCCTCGGTTACAGGTGGACACCGAATGGGGCATTGAGTTCAACATTGGACGTGTCTTCCTAATACTAAATCTTGGGGTGGTGGGAAGTGTGCTTAAGACAGGAAGTGGTGGGTAACTGAACTTCTGCCCTGAGCTGGAGTCCTCTTGCAGAATGTGTCACCCATCTCTCCGTGTTCATATCCAGGACTCTCTTAGAAGTGAGGCTGTGGGGTTGGAGCGATAGCACAGTGGGTAGGGTGTTTAGGGTGTTTGCCTTGCATGACCGGAGTTCGATTCCCAGCATCCCATAGGGTCCCCCGAGCACCGCCAGGAGTAATTCCTGAGTGCAGAGCCAGGAATAACCCCTGAGCAACGCCAGGTGTGACCCAAAAAGCCAAAAAAAAAATGAGACTGTATGATTTCCAGGGCTGTTTGAGACCAGCTACCCCCTTTTCCTAAGAGGGTTGCCAGAGAAGATGTCTGGGGGAGGGTTTCTGGAGTCCTGGGGGGGTAGAAATGAACTGCACCTGAGTAGGGGCCTTAAGACTCTCCTTCTGCCACCTGTAGTGCTGGTGATAGCCTCGTGCCTGAGCTGGGATTTTCTTAGGGAAGGAGCCCCTAGGCCTTGGTGACACTGGTTTCCCAGAGTTCCTTGTTGGGCTGGGTATGGGGACACTGCTCAGATGTGCCCATGCATTACACATTGTAGTCACGTACGCTGACATGCATGCACATGTGAGCTTTCATCTTTAAGTCCCTTCATATACATGCTCACAAGATGCTCATGCTGCATATGTACACACGTATGTGCCTGCATTGACACATAAATGCACACTCATACACTCATAGATGTGCTCAAGCTTACATGGTCCCAATACCTCCCACTGATAGGTGGGACCAGGGGTTAGATTCATGTGAAGAGACTCTGCACCAGTGTGCCTTGGTCAACGGCTCATGTGGGGGGAGCAGGGACAGGGAGGGACCTTCCCCAGGAACCAGCCAACCCTGAGGTGGTACCCTGCTGTGCGGCACATGAAGTGTCTGGATTTTGTCTGTCTTTTCTCCATCGAAGCCTTCACCTAGATCTGTGTGACCCAGGGAAGATGAACAGGGACCCACAAAGTCAAAACGGAACATTCTGTTCGCAGTATGGCCCAGGCCTGCAGTAAGGCAGCAAACACTTGGGGCTGGAGCGACAGTACAGCAGGTAGGGCACTTACTTGCCTGCAGCCACCTGGGTTCAAATCCAGCATTCCATATGGTCCCCTGAGCCCCTCCAGGAGTGATTCCTGAGTGCACAACTAGGAATAAGCCCTGAGTACCTTGGGGTGTGGTCCAAAATCAAAACAATAAATAACTTTGAATTTTTCTCCTTGACAATGCCATAGCAAGGGCTCTTATCTAAGTAGGAAGCACCATGTGGGGACAACTTGGGAGAAAACCTACTAAACCAACTCTGCAAAGGAAGTGAGTGCTTCCCCACTCTGGGGGTGGGATGTGAGGGTGTCTGTGGCGTCTCTCACCCCATTGATTGCCAGAGTTGATTCCGCTGATCTGGCTGGTTGAACTGGTACCTTTTCCTCTCTTTCCACTCCATGCATCCCTCCTGAGGCTGTGCGCTTGGTCGAAGAGGACAGTCTTCCCTGAATGGAGACTGACCGCATTCTTGGATCAAGGGTATCCGAGTAGCTCTGTTTCCCTCCTAGAAACTTCAAACATGCTCTCCCAGCCTTGTGGGTGGCCTGTCCCTTCACCAAGATGTGTATTCTCAGTAATCAGCCTGGGTTCTCTCTTAAATGCTTGACTCTCTCTCTCCACTTCCTCATAATCTCTAAATAAAGCTGTTTTACCTCACTACTGTCTCCTCCTAAAGTTCTTTTTCGTGAGGACAAGGTATCAGACTGGGAAAGCCTGGGGAAGAACTTAGGGCTGACTTTCCTTGCCTGAAAAGAGACATTATTTGTTGCAGCCTGAAGAGAGATTTGGGCCACATGTTTTCGGACAGCACACAGGAGCTCTTCCTTTTCCAAGGTAGCTTATTTACACTTTTCTAAAGACACACACACACACACACACACACACACACACACACACACACATCTCTTGGTAGGGTGATTGCCAAGGGAGTCTGGGGAGTTGATGGTCTTCTAATATTCTTTAATGCCCTCTGTTTCAGAACCTGGGCCTCTCTCCTCCCAAGGGGTGCAGTGACCTCTCCTCTCAGGAAGCTTCCTGCACTTGGCCTGGAATTCTGCATCAGTGACTTTCCTGAGATGGATCCTTGCATCAAAGGCCTCCATCTGGACAAGGGGGGGGGGTGATGGGGTGACAGGGAGGAGGCTGAGACCACAGGGTGACAGGCAGCTTGGAAGGTGGGGGGGAACCATCTGGGGCCACGGGGTGATGTCTCTCGAGTTTCAGTCTAGCTCATACAGGAAGTGCAGGGGTAGAGGTAGGTAAACAAGAACTTGGTATCTTCCCAAAGCCCTGTGCCCTCTGCTGAGGGGGTTTGGCTCCTGGCTTCAGGGGTCTTTCCTATGAGGCAGCCTGGAGGACACTGAAGACCTCCTCAGACTCATTCAGGGGACCCACATGTCCTCCCACATACTCACCCCACAGGGCCTAGACAGCATCTGTTCCCTCCTCGTCTCCCTCTCTCCAGCCCCAAGGAAGGTTCTAGAGCAGCCCAGCTCCAGCAGGAATAAGAGTTCATTCCTGGGTACCTGCCCTGGATGGAGCCTGCTGCGAGGCACTGTGCTGGGGCCCCCTCTCCCAGTCCCCTTTGTTACCCCAGCTCCCGAGTCTGGTGGCTCTGACTTTTGTCTGCGGTCTCCACAAGGTCTCAAATGCTCTGTGGACCCGAGGCCTGTGCCTGTGGCAAAGCCATGGGGCTCTGGGCCAGAGCAGGGTGCAAGAGCCCCAAGCCAGCATCCCAGCCTCGCCTTCTAGAACCTCACGACTTCTAGAACCACACGGCATCCATAGCAACAACCACTCCTTCAGTCCTTACCTCGGAGCCCAGGCCTGAATCTCAGTTGCACTGTCTGTCACTGTTGAGACAGAAGCCACTTTCCTCAGTGAACAGGAGCCTCTCTCATAGCAGGTGGCGCTCGGTCCAGGTGGGCAGCTCCTGGCAGTGGGCCTTGGGGAAACCCCTGGAGAACCCTGTTGACCCTTCTGCATGAAGGTAAATTGGTTCAAGATCTTGGGCCCTTTATCCCCCTGTGAGTCTCCTTGCAGACCTAGATCTTTGAAATTCTGGAGTGTTGCAGAATTAGTCACATCCCTGGCTTAAGCCCTGTCTGTACAGAGTCCCATGTACTAAGAGGTCCCATGTGACTAACAAGCGAATTCTGTTGATTCTTTGATATCGATCTTTGGAGGGCTAGCCCTGATGGTGCTTGGCGTCTACTCCCAGCACAGTTCTCAAGGGGCTGTGTGCTGGTGGGCTCAGACCTGGGACAGCCCACACTTTAGACTTCTGAGCATCTCCCTGACAATGCTCAATCTGAACACAGCAGGTGTTTTTTAAATTTTTGTATGGATATATGTATTGTCTAAAGGAAGTTTTACATCACGTATTTTTGTTTGTTGGTTTGGTTTTGGGGATACACCTGCGATGCTCAGGGGTAACTCCTGGCTCTGCAGTCAGGGATCACTCCTTGCTGTGCTCAGGGGACCACATGGGATTCTGGGGGTTGGAATTTGGGTCAGTCATGTGCAAAACAATCTCCGTACCGGCTGTGCTATCTCTCTGGCCCAAATTTATTTATTTTATAAGTGCGACCCACAGTGGTACTAGTGGGGTATGGGGTCACTTCTGGTGATGCTCTGCCCAGCGGGTGCCATGTAATGCAGGAGATCAAACTTGGCCTGGGCCTTGCTCACTAAGCCCTACCACAGAAGCCCATCCCTGCTCCAGCAGCCTGTTGTTAGGAAGCTTCTGTCATCTGGGGCTGAAGGGGCAGCAGATGGGCTGAGAGTAAACTGTCTTGCAAGTGAATGGCCGTGAGCTTGAACTCCAGGTGTCCCACATGCATGCAGAATGATCCCAGAAGTTCTGCTGTCTGTGGTCCTTGGTGCTGCCAGCAGTGTCCACTGCACCAGTCAGGCATGTGCCACATGCGCCTGGGCACAGGTTCAACCACAGCAAGAGTGAAAGGGGAGGGGGGGAGGCCCCAAACCAGGGCCTGGGGAAATAGCTCAGAGGACTGGAGTGCATAAATGGCTGATTTGACCCCCAGCACTGTGATGTCCCCACCAGCGACCAGGAGTGAGCCATGAGCACCATGCTGGGAGTAAGTCTGGACACACCACAAACAAAGAAACAAGAATTAAAACAGGGATAAAGTTCTTTACCTTTTGATGGGCTGGGTTCCTGTCTGCTGTCCCTGCCCTGTTATCATTTTTTGACAATTCAAAATCTGATTCAATAATCTAATAAGGTCTAATCCAAGCTAATATATTTAGATTTGTAAATCTAATCAGGATCTGATTAGATTTGCACATCTAGGGTTGAGGAAAAGTGCAAATTCTGGGGCCCAAGTGGTAGTACAGCGGGCAGGGAACTTGCCTTGCACATGGATGACCAGGGCTCGATCTCCAGCATCCTATACAGTCTACTGAACACTGTAGGAGTGATCCCTGAGCACTCTCATGTGTGTTCCCCCTCCCCAAGGTGAAATTTCTCCAAGGACTTCTGGGGTGATGCACTTTCATGGGGACCCTTCCTCTTAGAGCCCCAAATGG